ACAACCAATAAAAGATTTTAGCAGGGCTTATAAACGGGGGCTTATTACAAGACTAAAAAAATGTTTCAAAACAAGCTACATAGCTGAGCTAATCAAATACTTTTTGCCGGAATTAACCCGTTTTTTAAAGCTTCAAAACTCGGTAAAAAATCAAATTCATTTCAATACAAGCTAGAGGGGGGCTCATTACTTTTTTAGTAGGGAGGGGTTGGGGTTTATAAGCGGAGGTTTACGGTATATTGATATGTGATAGTGGTTGAAGTTTTCCGCTTCGGCAGGGCTCTTTTCAACTAACTGCTAGCCAGTGTCAAATGAATGAATAACAAATAGAGCGATTTTCGTATGAACATGAAAAATGGTTGCGGTAAGTGTTCGTTACTTGTTTTATCAGCTAATAGATCAAAAGATCAAAACATGGACTCTCCGTTCTTCCGCCAAAGAAAACCCTAATATGGAGAAGGCATTGTTCGATTGGCCAATCGTGTTGCAGTATGACGTCAAAGCGGAGTATTGATTGATTTCTAGAAGGTTCTCGGGCATGAAGTTTTTTCACCCGAGCGTTCGCTTAACCAACCAAAAGCCACGCGCGTTTGTATCCGTTCGATAAACCAATCAAATCGCTCTATTTCCGTTCGTTTGTTGTTTCTGCTTTGTTCGCGCGTTTTCATTACAAGGTCATAGGAAAATCGCTCTATCGTGAGATGGCTGACAAATACGTTGGATTTCTAGTGACTTGATATTGTCTAGTTCTTTTATCTTTCAAGGCACTCATAGAAACTCAAGTGCAAAAATGGCTGAAAATATGGCAGCTGGTCTTAAACTAGAAAGAAATAAAAACCACACCCAATTGTCATACATGTACGTCCTTCCTCCCCTTAGGAAGTTTTAATTTAGAGACACTTTTGACTACAGAGACCCTCTACCTTCTGTTTGGAATGTCAAGTATTCCTCCTTAGGGGGGATTAAGTGGGGTGGGGGACACAAATTTTCTGGAATCGCACAATGTATTGTGGGTAATTTTTAACTGTTGGACTCCTACAATAGTATGATAGAGCAGATAACATAATTCTAAGATAAATTAAATTTATTTTAAAAAGCTCAAATTCAAGTTAACTCTTCAAACCCTAGGAGTGATGAGAATCCAATAGGCCACTTCCGAGTTCCAAAAACCCTCACTTTCAAAATGAGGCTAGGTGCACAACCTTTCTTGTGAAAATGAGTTTTACTTGCATGAGAATGAAGAATCATTTCCACATCAAAGGCTGATCACCTACCCTCATTTTGAAACAGAGGCCCGGGGGAACTCGGAAATGGCCTATTTCGCCTTGTATTATGAATGCTTTTAAGACAAAGTGGTCATGAAAATTACGGACATTATTACACGATGAATCTCATTATTTAATTTGATATTAAACAACTTCTCCACATTAACTGTATAAAAAATTCATACAACAATAAATGAGAGCATAAAAATTAATTTAAATATTAGGGTTTAAAAGGTTAAATAGCAGTTAAACTCCTAGGAATACCTGGAAATTGGGATTCAGGGACAGGAACCTTGCCAGCCTGACCTGTTTCTGCCAACACGGTACTTGGGTCTGTTGTAGAAGGCAAGGCATCTAATGCATCTGCCATAAGATGATATTTTTAAATTGAAATGTTCAATTTAAGGTTCGTAACAAACTGGGAGTTGGTCACTTAGTGAGTTCCCAAATCATAAGTCAAACCTACCAATTCCAAACAGAGAGAAAAGTACATCAAACGCTGGGTCAGCTTGCATGAGATCCATGATTTCTTTAACAGGAATATCACCACCAGCTTCCTGTAAACCAACAAGAAAACACTTGCATTATCCTTCTCACAAGGGCAGGGCTCAAAAAAGTCTGACCTGGTAGTCTGGGACAAGTAACTTGCCCAATGGGCAAGGATCCAGGCAAGTCATCCTAAGCCCCAAAATCCAGATAGAAACTCTCCATACTGATCTTTATATATTTCCTTATGACACAATACCAGTGAACAAATTCGTCTCATTAGTTCACCCAATGGTCCACTTCGAAAAGTTGTCAAATCGTACCAATAGATAAAATTATTGTCGACTCCACAAAAAAGGTTTTAAAATTTGTTAAGCACATATCTTTTTAGGTCAAGTTACAAAAGTGAAAGCAACAAAAGATGCGACACAATGGTTTTGAAAGCTTCAGTACAATACACAATGAAGTGTTTGGTCCTGGAAGGTTATATATAGCTAAACGTAATTCTGAAAAAATGATATCTTGACAGTTGTACAATAATATACCTGACTGACTTCTAAAAATTATCATGCAAAAGCTTTTTTTTGGTTTTATACCAGATTAGATGCCATTAATATATCATCACTGCTGTCCTCGGTTATCGTCACAGTCTGTGCTGAGTCAGTAGGAGGGTCATCAGAAGCAGGCTGAGTCCTTGAACTGCAAGAAAATCCCATTTTGGATTTAATCTTGAGGAAAGGTGGTAGAAAATCAAAGAGAGAGAAGTGCCAAGTCAAAAAATTTGAGTATGAAAATGAAAAGCCAACATATGTAATTGTAAAGGGTCCAGAAGAGGTTATTTTCAAATCCACAATATGTCTCATTTCAAGGCCAGGATTCCAGAGGGAAATGGGAGCACAAAATTGTGTCCTTAATAATAATTACTGAAAGAGGCAATGCTGAATTATTTTCATAATTTTAAGATGCAGGATTTGGCAAATTTTGATGTAAAAAACTGAGATCTGATCAGAAAAGTGAGCTGCACTTTGTTAAACATCAACAAAAACTTTCATTTTGACTTGACACAAGCTGTCCACATTCCCTCGGACTATGCTATACAATCTTTGTGACTGTGTTCTTTTTCTGTCCCTACACTGTAGGTCTTCAAAGCAGAAAAGGTATAAACAAGAACTGGGATTAAAATTTAATGGTTATGTACATTAATAATTATTTAACCAAGGAAAATAAAATGTGCACTAGGAATAATGTTGAATCATATCACTCACTGATATTAGGATTGACAGGGATTACAGTAACTGTTTTAATCTATGAGAGTGATCAACATAAATATTCTGCTTGTTATGTCCATGCTTAATTAATCACACAAGCGAGGAGAGTTCAAAAGATGATCAGCCAAAATGAATAAATTCTATTACAACTGTTTTCTATTTCTAAGAACCATACTGGAAAAGGAGAGGAGAATTTAAATTTTGATTTCAAGTGTTTAAGGGTTAAAATTGTATGGTTTGATTCATAAACAAGAATTCTCACCTTCCAACCACTTTGTTGATATTTTCTGCCAGTTTTTCTTGCAATATTGGAGTGTTAAGTAATGTGCCCAAAAAAGATTGCTGTAATATTAATGCAAAAGCGAGAATATTTTAATCTGACACATGATTCGATTTGCTCAATTTAATAAACAAATTACCACTGATAACCTTGATTACCTCAACCTTGATTATTTAGAATATCACAAAAAAAACCTTTCCAATAATCGTTTGGAATCTCATCATGCGTCCGCTTGGTCACATTTTTTCTCATTAATAATTATTGTTATAATGACATTTTTTGTAAATTAGTATCAAGTAGATCAACCTGATTAATACACAAATTAGCAAATCATTTGTAGATCATTTTATTAGTCTTCTCCATTATGTTGCTGTATTATTTTAAGGAATGATCAGCTGTAAAAGTGCTCTTACTGGAGTTAGTGTATCTGATGCATACATAACGTCCATTTCAACTTCCTGATAGGTACACTTTGGAACTTGCTTGGCAGTCGAAACAGCCACCTCTGATTGGCTGGAAAAGAAAATAATCAGGGTCAAAAAATAAAATATCACAACAAATTGAAATAAATGTATTGTTAATATCAAGTGGTATCCTTAAGGTTATAAGCATTATGAAAAAATATATATTACTTTTTATATTCTCTATTCAACCAAGAAATAATATTAAAAATGGCATTAACTTTGTAGGTTTTTTGTGTCTAAGAAGACATTAATATACTAGTAATAGCCAAAGGTTATGGAGTGCGGGTGACAATGGTTGAAGGCCAAAATGCTTTTGCTCCAATGCTGTACTCTGTGCAAGTTTCACGTGATAAAAGGTCAAAACACGTGTGATTAAATTGTGTTCAGTGCATTCCATTCATTTGTAGTGGAAGTGCAAACTAATGCTGGCTACATACATGTGACACATGCGCAATAACAACCCGGAGATTAGGATTGTGGCCTCCTCTTGTTGCCCGCAACTATAAAAATAGCAAAGATTTTAATATAATTTGCGATAAAACTAAAAGGTACACAGTAAAGGCCTTTGCCTAATGCTAAGAAATCTCGGTAAATAATTTGTAAAATTCAGGCCTGCATGTTCAGGGTTTTTTTTATCATAATGGTATAACCATTTTTGTTTCATCACCTCACCTAGTGTCTCCTTGAGGGACTCTCCTACGGGGATGAACTCTGCAAACATAATCACAAAGATTTTGCACAACAACAGTCTGGTAATAGAGAGGAAAAGTATGACATCACATTACCACGGTACCAAAATTTTGGATCACAACAAAAGGGACGTTAAGCAACAACAATGGTGACAGCAATGAGAAGGACAAAAGCGATAAGTTTACATAGCAAAACATCAACTTTGTATCACGCTTTTTCTCCATTTCTTAGCCGTCATTGCACAACTGATGTGAAACTTCCTAATTTCATGCACCCACTTTATAAAGAAGGTGAACGCAACACAATTTTCTTTTCTTTTTCTAAACTTAAATATGGTCCTTTTGGATTTAACCCCAGCAAATTTAGCCAACATTTGACAAATTAATTGAACCTGAATAAGATTGATAAGCCAGAAACAGTGCAAAGTCACTTTGTAAGTGACTTTTTTGGGTTTGTTGTCATCCAGAAATTTTGCTACCATGGCAATGTGACGTTAAGGACTTCTCTCTATTATGTAGTACTCTAGTACAAGTATCTCAAATTTCACCATTTTTGTCAAGTCAGCCATGCCAAATATGGTGGTTCAGTTCACAAATATTAAAACTAAAACAAGGAAAAAAAAACACACGAACAGTGGATAGGTAGCTGGGCAGGTCAGGCAACAGCAGATGGCATTAAAAACAACTGTATGTACACTTGAACCCATACTCCGAGCCATGAGTGAAAAAGACATTTCTACTTCATTCGCTCCTCAGCCAGCAGAAAACCACACATCGTTACAGAAGTACAAGAATTTATTCCTACTGTCTTACCCTTTCCGTTTTGGTGATTGCAAGTGTATCTCATTTTCACGGGAATTAGAGTCAGATAAACTATGTTCTTTCTCAGCTGACACTTCTTGATCATTGCTACTTTCATCATTGATTACTATAACAGGAGTTCTCTCAGGGCTAGAATAGCCTGCATCACCAAAATCCCCATCATCCATTGGAATATCAATCACGCTTTCCACTGCATCTTCATTACTAGACTTCTCATTGGTGGTGTGACTGTGTCCAACACCAGTATCTCTACCTGGGCTACCTGTGATTTGTCCTTCATTTTCTGTTACAGGTCCCCCAGTAGTTGGGATTTCTATAACAGGAGCCACATCTGCCACAGGAACCCCAACAGGCTGATAATTGATTGAAGTCTGCCGTACATTTGAGTCCTTATTGAGAGCAGATTGAACCCTACTACTTGTTCCAGTCGTAGAATTGGAACACAGAAGATTTCTAGTACGACCATTTGATGATGACTGATTGTTTGATGATACAACTTTGGGGAGTCTTGGTAAAGGCAACTTTTCAGTTGCACTACTTGGTGCTACAGGTCCCTGGAGAGTGGAAGTTCTTATCACTTGGTTCTTTTGAAATGTGTTTCTCCTTAAAAGATCAGTGTTAAGACGTCTTGTACGTGCTACAAGCATGAACAGAACATAAATGGTGAATTAAATAAGTAACAGAATTTATAAGAGAGAAAATCATCCTACATGTGGGTATTCAGTGGTGGTTTTGTGGTAATGGAGGGAATGGTAGTTTTTTTGATTAAAAAGGGAGGGCCTAAAAATTTCATACAACTTGAAAAAGGAGTTTCTACCATATTTACATGTACCAATGGCCCTCTAAGTATCCCAACTAACCATATAAAGACAAATTCTGGACTAAATTGAATTTTTGATGAGAAGGGAAAACTGAAGCACCCAGAAAAAACCCTCATGGAGCAGAGAAGAGAATTAAAAGCAAATCAGTCCACATAATTATGGCATTAATTGACGACATTATCCATAGTCATGCTTTTATACTCATTTTATGGGCGAATCTTTGCTGACATCATTGTTTACATTTTTGCTCACTATCATATGAGTAAACCCATAGACGGCTTTGCTGTATGAACAAATTAAATTAAAAGGTTGAAAGAGTTGGTTAATTTGGGGAATTTGCACAACTTTCAGCTCTCTGCAAACAACAACAAAGGAAATAGCAGCCATGGAAAACTGTAAAATTGCTGGGTGGCAAAAACGTTAATGAGCCCAGACATTCTTTGTAAAGTTTCAACTCTTTTAAAGGTAATTTCTCTGAAACTATTTGGTATATCGGGTTCAAAAAATCACAGATAAATGAAATTGTCACAGTCTTTCAATATTCAGAGAGTTCATTTTAATAGCCTGATCAGAGAATGGAAGGCATACATGTAAGCTCATGAGGCAAAAAATATAAACAAAGATTTGCCTTTACATTGTGCGTCACTAAGAGCTGGGAAGACTGGTATGTTTAAAGGAGAGAAATGACAATTTTCTTGACGATTACCTTAAGATGTTTAACCTTTTCACTTCCAGGAGGAATGATGGATTTATGAACTGCAGTTCTAACTTTTAAGTCAGTGGATGAAATCCTACATGTACTGTATGTTATGACCATTCAAATGAAACCTCTTCAGCAGTACATGTACTTTCACATTGTGTGGTTCCAGAAAATATCCATACCACCCCCACGGAAGGGATCTGCTGTATGACCCCCCTCCCCTCTGGAATTTCCAAAATTGGCCCCCAAAATTTACCCCCCTCCCTTCCAGATTTCCAAAATTTTCGTACACCCCTGGAATTATTGCTATCTCTCATTGAAGTGAACAAATTAATAGTTTTGTTCACTAGGGTACCACATTTTGTGAGTTTCATGTATTTTCTGTTAAATTCTATAACAGATAAGCAAATCGTCATGCGCTCAAGTTACAATGTATGTTGAACAAGTTCTTAGCCACACGCAAATGAAATGCAAGGTTGCATGGGAAGTATAACTATACTTTTCTGTCACGGCATCAAGAAGGAAGCAACACTTGAAGAAGCATAAACAAAGTGATCAGGACCTCGTCAAGTTATAAGACAGTGCGGGTATCGAATTTCGTTCTACCAAATTTGCATATTTGATGACAATTTTTTTTTGAAGGGATTGCCCAAGCCTTTCAAACAGATACCAAATCGGTTTGAACATCTATCCATTCGAAGACAGCAAACCGTAAGGAACATTTTTGCATGACATGTCATGCCAAGGGACGGACAAAATACCTTCGCTATGTTCATTAATCCTTATGTTTAGTAACTCTTTAACTTTCGTTGTGTTTTATATCTTGCAAATAAATTGTTGTGGTAAATTTTTGGGTTTTTTTCTTTGTTACTCTCTTACGCATCATGAGAACCCTCTAGAAATATGTCCCTATGGTGCACCCCCCTTCCCCCCCCTGAAAATCCTATCCCTTCCGTGGTAGTGGCATGGATATTTTCTGAAACCACATTTTGCACCTTTAATTCATTTAAGCTTCTTGTTCTAATTTTGAGTCTGTAGATGAAATCCTTTGATGTGACCATTCAAATGAAACCTCTTTAAAAGTACATTCACATGGAAGTATTTGTTTTTCAGCATTTTTGTAAAACAGACATTTTAAATATTTGTCAGATTATAACTTTGACCACTTTTTGAGAGTGAAAGAGTCAGTTACAGCTGTACCTACCAATGATAAATTTCCTATGTTAAGGAAGTCTAAAATCATTCATAAGTTTAATATTATTGCCTTCTTGGAAGCAAACTATGACTTACTAGATTGGTTCTTAATGGTATTAACCTTGGGAGTATTTGTTGGAATGGTAGCGTATCTGAAAGACAGTTGATGTAAATGTTCTTGTAAGTTTACAGCGGTGATCATAACCATATGCATATATTCATTTCTCTAGAAACCTCAGTGCAGGATCCAGACCTTGAGATGAGGGGGGGGGGGGAGATCATCCAGACTCTTAGGTAAGGGGGGTGCAGTCTCCAAAAAAAATTTTTCAGTTTGGTCTAAGAATGGGGGGGGGCAGGCCCCCCGGGCCCCTCCCGTGGACCTGGATCTGCCACTAAACCTTCCTGTCTAATAGGCAATGATTTAAGACTCACACAGTTCCACAGCAGGGGAGACAAAATAAAATTTTCAGTGGTAAAATTTGATATTTGATGAGAAGCGAGGCAGAGAGATTTCTGATAAATCCACAGGTGACAGGTACAGGTTACTATATTATTGACTAGGGTATAGTTAAAACAGTTTATCTTAGATTTGAATTCATCCCCAGTAGATGAGCTTGGGCGCTGGTACCTACAAGGTTGGTGGAGCCGGGTAATGCTCTAGCACAAGGAAAGAGATATCCATGGCAATGTTGCAAGCCATCCACACCAGGTACTGTCATACTAGACCACTCAGTAAAATACTTACAGACCAAAACTTACGTACCTAGCCCTGACTTAAAGAGGAAGGCAGGGTTGGTAAAAACACAGCACTAAAACAGTGAAAAAAGCAAATAATCTCTAATAATCTCAAATAATCTCTCTGAAGAGCTACAAGTGAGCAACTGTGCATACAAGTCATGAGGTGCCCCTGGTAAGGGCATAGGGACCACCCCGTGTAATTGTAGTAGCGAAAACTGCTGACCAGCACTGGTTTGAGGTTAACTTTACCTAAATTACATTTTGCTACATCTAAGACCACAGGTAAACCAGGCTCACTATTTGTGTCAGGTACGGGTTTCAAAAAACAAGATAGAGAACATATGGGGCAAAGTTTAGGTCTGGAAATTTGCCAGAAAATGGAAATAAAAATCGATGAGACTTACCATGTGGCAAGTTGTTGTTGTCCCTCATATGCACATGAAGTTTTGGGAAAAATAGTCTCCTTCATCTTTCCTACATAGTAAAATGGAAAGGTAGGAGGCAGACGGCAGCCCCACAGTGCTCAAAGAATTAACTCACCGTCCGACTACACCCTCCTCCCAGTGACTTATTATACTCATCATCAGATGCCCCGATCGAGCTTAGTGCCACTTTTGAATTGGACAGTCTCGGGCTGCCATTTTAGTAGGTTAAAGAACGAGTTCTGCGGAGCCTGCTGGCTTTGTGTTGCTAGCTGGAGATCCTTCAGTGGATTCACTGTTTTTGAGAAATTCATGTTCCACAAGCTTGGCATGTTTACTCAGCAACTGGATTCGATTTGTGCGAAAAAAAATTGTGCTGGTTTAGGATCGATCAGAGCCCCGGTGCTGCTGTCTGCCTCCAATTGCAACTTGCTTAAGTGAGCAATAGCCCTTGAGCAAACGTATTTCCAGCAAGGAAGGCTAACTTTGGGCAAACTATGTATCGCTCCCTAGAAAGGTCACCCCCAGAACATCCGGGATGGATTTACTTTGTACAGTGCCCAGGCCTCATTTGCTTGGCAACGCGTTGATCTGGCCCGGCCACTTCGGCGCATTGACTTTCGGCCTTTTTGGATCATATTTATAATCCTCTGAGTTTGTCAAAGTCTACTGGATTTATTTCTCTAGCTGGGAAAGCTTTATTGGTTTCTATAGCTGATACTATCCTATTCTACAATCTTAGCATGCTTATTCCCGTTGGAGTTCGAATTTCATGGAAAAGTTGTGTTGGAAAGGGAGCATGACAGCAGAGATGCCATCTTGGCCTCCTACCTTGTATATGTGGAGGGTGAATTTAAGCAAATTACCACAAAAACCTGTTTGAACATTGAGGACAACAACAACTAACCCCAGAGTAAGTTTCATTGACTTTTATTGAGTATTTCCTACCAATTTAAGATCGTATTTTACCCCATACAAACACTGTGATTTTACTGGAACAGTACTGTGGTACTATCACAGAGCCTGGGTTACCTGCACTGTGGAATGTCACAAAAACAACCTCCACATCTGTGTTTGTTTGGGAATGATAAATGACAAGACTTACTTCAGTTGTCCAATCACAACATCCAAATCTCTCCATAAAGATTTCAGAACAGCACTACTAGTCGGTGTGCCATTTTCCCTTCCTAAAAATAAACAATAGAAAAATTAATGATTACAGGGACCCTACGTGTACACCGTATAATAATAATAATAATAATAATAATAATAATGGAAACTTTATTTTTGTTTTTGAACGTACAATTTTCAATCTCGCTACACTGTACATTTGGCCAATTTACTGCTCGAGATTGAAAAAAATATATATATAAAAATTGCATTAACCCATTCGCCCCTGAACCGCCCGTAACCGCCCGTGCAGATCCAGGTCCTTTCTACCCATTGTGACGTCATCGGTTTTAACGGTCAAGGACAACTTTCTTCACTAACTTGTGCAGAGTGAAGAGATCTTTCAAACCATACCAGAATGAGCACAATTCAGTCAAGGACACCGGAGAAACAAGCAAAAAACCACGTGACATTGACCTGAAAATCTCCATGAAAATCTTGTCCCATTACCCACCTACCTTTCCTTTCGCCTAATCCTAAGATCCTAAAAGCTTTCCTAAAAACTCTTCCCACCAAAATCAAGCCTACTAAATGCCCAGCAAGAGAAAAAAAAAATGAGGCAAGAAAAGCAAAAAAAGAAGGGAGGAGAGAAAGCGAAAAGT